TCCCTTTCCACTTTGTCATATCTATGTATGTCATTTCTCTGTATATTTGCATATGATATATTTTGTCTTGCTTCTTTTGAGTTAGTGGCGACCTTCCCCTCCCCCTCAAAACAGTGACATCCATAATTCTAAAAGCATCAGAATTGTCAGCAAAAAATGTTGGGAATGGAGGATATAGTGTTAAGGGAAAGAAGCCAGACACCGAAAGATAAATATTGCATGCTTTTATTTAAATATGGAAGCTGGAAAAATTGTTCTTAAAGAGAAAGGGAGTGTAATAGAAATTGTTAGAGGCTGGGAAACGTGGAAGCAAATAGAGGCTGGATAGTGGGTACCGAAATACGGTGAGGTAAGATATAGATGCCTCACATGATCTTTTACAAATAGATGGTGAGGAGCTTGTGGTCTGTAGCAACTGATCAGATATTTGTTGGAAGAATGAGAAACAAAGGCATGCCAATGCTTTGGGTCCTGATGTGGTTGTCACATACTCTGTGTCTCATAAACATGGATGATGGTAAGTCAGCTAAGGAAGAAAAGAATGTAAGTAAGCAGTAAAATATCATAAAGATACAGTCCTATCTTTGACTTTACTCCAAATATTTGGCTTGAAAGAGTTTCATTGCTTAAACCAAAGGTCTTTGAGACCAAGGGTTTGTTTCACAATTACAGACCCCACAGGTAAAGAACTAGGTTCTTGGGTAAGTTCCTGCAGCTAGTGGCAGCAGAGAATAAAACATGACAGGAAAAGAAGCCCACTGGACTTGGAGGTAAGAACTTCATGTTGTGTTTGTTTTTGAAACTCACTGTAGTACTCCATCTGGCCTTGAACTCCTGAAAACCTCCTGTCTTAGCCTCTCGAGGGCCGGATAACAGGAGTTCACCACCTGTTATCTTGTTTTGTCTTTTCCTGTGCTGAGGATGGAACCCAGGACCTCATGCCAAGCGAGTGCTTTCCCCCTGAGCTGCATCCCCAGCCCAAGCTAAGAGCATTTTAATCACAAGACTTTGGAGAAGCAAAGCGTGAACTGTTTGCATTGGGATTCCACTGGCTAGGGACAGGATAACCTGAAGAGAGGTGGAATTGGGATAGGAGGTCAGCATATAGGGAGAAGCATTTTTTTTTTTTCTAGGAACCACTTGATGGGGGTTTGGCAGCTTGGGTTGTTTTTTGTTTTGTTTTGTTTTTGTTTTTCAAGACAGCTCTGACTGTCCTAGAACTCACTCTGTAGACCAGGCTAGCCTCGAACTCAGAGAGATCTGCCTACCTTTGCCTCCCTGAGTGCTGGGATGAAAGGCGTGTGCCACCACTGCCCAGCTTGGGGTTTTAAAGCCAAGCCTTTAACATACATTCTAGCATGTGAAACTGTCTCTACTGCTTTAGACACAGATACTCATGGAATAATCCTCCTTAACTCCCTTCCGTTTTTCAGCCCTTGTAATGAAGACATTCTAACATCAAAAAAAATGTAGGGTGTTTTGCTTGAATGCATGTCTGGGTACTACATGTGTGCCTGGCATTTAAAGAGGCCAGAAGATGGCACCAGATGGAGCCATGGAGCAGAGTTGCTGTGTAGCTGCTGGGAACTGAACCTGGGTCCTCTGGAAGAACCACCAGTACTCTTAACTGCTGAGCCATCTCTCCAGTCCCAGTATCCTAACATCTCAGCAATGTTTTGTATCTTACACAGTAGCATTTTGGAGCTAAGCAAAGCACCACAGAAATTTCCATTGATCCCTTCTTCATTAATTGAATGACAGAATAATGGTTTCCAAATCTTCAGGGTGTGGGAGCATTGCTCTGGAGTTGGTTTAGGTTTGACATTTCCAGCACTTTCTAAGTGATTTGGCTAGTTTCTCCCTTCTGGGGTTGTAGTGAGGGAGGGACTGTGTGAATTCATTCTTCACAGGTAATCACTGTCGTCTCTCCATCATGAGCTGTGTTGGGGGAAGGAAGAGGGGATGGAGCCTTCCTATTTTATTACTTACCTGGAAGACAGAGATCTGAGCTCTAAATCCGGAAACTAGGGCATTGGGTCTGCCACCAACAAGCTGGTGACGGTGGGTAGGGCGCCTTCTTTTCATGAATCTATTTCCGCATTGACCGAACAATAGAAAAGCGAGCATTTATTGAAAATCTCTGAGCCAGGTTCATGTATTATATTTGTTTAATCTGAGAAGTTAACACACAATGATTGGCGGGCCAGATCTCACACCCATGTTCCTTGACTTCCAAGGCCAGGTGTTTTGGGGCAATGTGGCCACTCGTGTCCATGCTCAGCACCACAGATCTGAGTCGCAAGGTTTGCATCCTAAGAAACTTAGGGATGTGGGATTTCTCAGCTCCTATCACTTAAAAAATACCTAAAACTAAGGCTTAAACAGTGTGAGCAGCTTATTCAGGGTCTCATAAATCAGTGGCCTAAATAGTCTCAGAACCCAGGCCTTGGGGACCCTGGAGCTCCAGCCCTGGAGTCTTCCCCAAAGAAAATCTGCTTTGTCTGAAGGTGATGGCTTGCATTTTACCTTAAGTCTCTGCAGCACTACTTTATGTCCTTGTGTGTTAGTCAAGGCTGAATAACAAGACACCATAGGGCAAGGGGCCTACAGACAGTAGAATGTCATCATTAGAAAAGATACTCACTTAAAAACATGTGCATTTGGGAACCTCTCTGGCTCTGATTTTCCCACCACAGTTCTCCTGATCCTGATTGCTTTTCAATTTCCAGGGGAGTCAGAATATTTTTGCAGTAGCTCTCCTTGTGGTTGGAGGATTTGGTGAGGCCATTCTTTCAAGGGGTCCATGAGTTGAGAATTACTTTAACAATCACACCAAGATGTTACGGATCTTTCTCACTCTCATTGCCCCTGCAGGTCTTCGGGGGTGGCATGGTGTGAGATGTGGTATTAGGTCAATGCAGAGACAGGGACGGGAACTGGAGCATCTACTATCCAGCTGGATGTGACCGAGTAGTACAGACCTGTAAAGTGAATCTATTCTTTTGTAGAAAACATATTCATGCTGTGTGTGACTCTGAAGTTATCTATGCTTGTATCGGTGGTTCTCAATCCGTGGGTCGAGATCCCCTTGGGGTCATAAGACTCTTTCACAGGGGTTGCCCAAGACTACAAGTAAATATTAGGTCTGTCTACCAAATGGTCAGATTTCTAGCTGAGGGGTCCTTCTAATCCCTGAGCCACACAGGACTGACTGGCTTGCTCTCCAGGGCACTTCAGTTTCATCATATTATGATGCTGTAAGGTATCTTTTCCCATCAGACCTGGGTGCTTCCTACAGGTGGGAGCCCCCTTGCCTTCACCAGAACGATCTCTTCTGAAGGGCAGGCAAACATTAACTGTCTCTTCCAATCAGCATCTAGGGATAGTCCCATAGAGTGGCTGTGAAAGCACTTTAAAAAAAAAGTTAGCTGTTAACTTCAACAAAGGTCTGACAAGCATAAGTATATCTTATCAAAAGTAAGACAGGGAAAAACTGACTCTGAAATGAACCAACCATTTTGTTTCCCCCAAGATAGTGTTTCCCTGTGTGATAGTCCTGGCTGTCCTGGAACTCACGCTGTAGACCAGGCTGGTCTCGAACTCACAGAGATCTGCTTGCCTCTGGCCACCACTGCCTGGCTACTGTAGCCATCTTACAGCTACTGAAAAAGAGAACAGAATCCAACTTTGTCTCAAAGGAATAGACAAATGGGCCAGTGGAATAAATAGTTCCCAAAGAAGAAATGCAAATGGCCAATAGTGTTTTAAAAAGTATCTAACACCTCTAGCCATCAGGGAGATGCAAATTAAAACTACTTTGGAATACCACTACATCTCAGTCAGAACAGCTATCATCAAAGAATCTGACAACAGATGCTGGTGAGGATGCAGAGAAAGAGGAACCCTTATTCACTACTGGTAGGGAGTGCAGACTAGTACAGTTGTTACGAAAATTAGTATAGAGATGGCTCAAAAAACTGAAAATAAAATTACCATGTAACCCAGCTGTACCACTGCTGGGCATAAGCCCCAAGGACTCACTGTCCTTCCATAGAGACACTTGCACGTCCGTGTTTATTGCTACTCTTACTCATGGTGTCTAGGCAATGGAACCCATCTCTACGCCCATCAACAGGTGAATGGATAATAAACATGTGGCTGTGTCTTAGTCAGGGTTACTATTGTTGTGATGAAACACCATGACCAAAATCAACTTGGGGAGGGAAGGGCTTATTTTGCTCAGAGTTCCACATCACTGTTCATCATCAAAGAAAGTCAGGATAGTAACTCAAACAGGGCAGGAACCTGGAGGCAGGAATGTGGCAGAGGCCATAGAGGAGTGCTACTTACTGGCTTGCTCTCTATGGCTTGCTCAGCCTGCTTTCTTTTTACTAATTTTTTAACTAATTTTTTTTCATTTATTTTACATATCAACCACAGTTTCCCTTTCCTCCTCTCTTCCCTTTCCCCACCTCTCATGTATTCCTCCCCCCCAATCCACTCCTCCTCTGTTCAGAAAGGGGCAGGTCTCCCATGAGAGTCAACAAAGCATGCCATATCACACTGAGGCAGGACCAAGCTCCTCCCCCTGCAACAAGGCTGGGCGAGGCATCCCTGCATGGGGAATAGATTCCAAAAAGCCAGCTCGTGTGCCAGGGACAGGACCTGATCCTAATGCTAGGGACCCCACAAACAGACCAAGCCTCACAACTGTCATTCACATGCAGAGGGCCTAGGTCGGTCTCATGCTTTCTTCTATAACCCAGGACCACCAGCCTGGGATGACACCACTCACAATGGCCTGGGCCCTCCCCGTTACAGCCCGCGATCTTATGGCATTTTCTCAGTTGAGGTTCCCGCCTCTCTAATGACTCTAGCTTGTGTCAAGTTAACATAAAACTAGCCAATACAGGTTCATATACACAAAACAACTTTATTTAGCTATAATGACAATGAAATGAAACTATGAAATTTGCAGGAAAGCAAGTGAATCTGGAAAGTATAATATTATATAAGGTGACCCAAACTTAGAAAGACTGAAGACACATGCTCTCTCATATGGGGATCCTAGCTGGTAATGTATGCATGTATATATGTAAATGAAGGTAAATGTGGGTAAAACTTAAGGTATTTGAAAAGAGACCAAGAGAGAGTAAAAAACGGATAAAGGAGGATGTGTGATGATCAGCGTGAGGGGTAGGTTGGGGCCAAATGAACACATGATTTAAGAAAAGAGACTCGAGGGATTTACAAGGGGGATAGTGAACAGGGGAGGGAGAAGAAGAGGAGAATTATCACTTTGTTTGATAATGCTATAATGATATCTCACATTTGATAGGTCAATTTAAAAAAATGAAGAAGCAGCCTGGGCGGTGGTGGCACATGCCTTTGATCCCAGCACTCGGGAGGCAGAGGCAGGCGGAATAGAGTGAGTACCAGAATAGCCAAAGCTACAGAGAAACCCTGTTTCAAAAAACCATAAACAAATAAACAAACAAATAAAAAAATGAAGAAGCTTTAAAAGACATCAAAGGAACAAAAGAAACATCTGTGAGCCAGCCTCAGGACCCAGTGGTCACTCATGTTCAGAGACATCCTAGTTCATGTTCTTAGTTACCAAAAATGGTGTTGTCATTGTAGAAAAGTTGAAAAATAAAGGAAAACATAAAAAAGACAAAAAATATCCGCCAAAATTCTACCTCCAATCAACTTTTGTTACATCTCTTATAGATTTTAAAAATATCTTTAGATGTGTTTTATGTCATCGACATTATTCTAAATAAAGAGTTTTGGTTTTTTTCCTCTTACCATAGCATTAGGACAGGATACATTACAGATTCATTATAGACATGGGTGTAACTGCCACTTCTAGTCTGTCTTCCCACCTGGGGACTTGAGGGTCCACAGCAGGCTGAACATGATGCCACCTGAATAGAAAACTAAAAGGAGACATGGGCCAAGCTGAGGCAGGAGCCTTTCACAGGGCCGATAACCCAGCGCCCGAGTTCCTCTGTGAGCAGTGGTATCTTAAGTGGGAGTGGTCCTGCTTCATCCAAGGACATACTGGTGGGTTCTGTGTGTGTGTGATCAGTCCCAGACCACCTCAAGGTCAGGAGGCTCTGACATGAAGGTCAGTCAGGATACAAAGCATTTCTTTTTGTTGTTGTTGTTTTGTTTTTCCAGGGTTTCTCTGTGTAGCCCTGGCTGTCCTGGAACTTGCTCTGTAGACCAGGCTGGCATTGAACTTAGACATTCAACTGCCTCTGCCTCCCAAGTGTTAAGATTAAAGGTGTGCACCACCATCGCCCAGCTACAAAGCATTTCCAAATGGGTACAGTCGGTTGGTAGAAGGTTTGTTCACTGGCTGGTCACATCAATTCAGGTAAGCAGGAGTCAGACTCCCTTGGCAGAAAAATACTTTGAGTTTGCTCTGTGGCTGAGTGGGAATGTCTAAAACCAAACTAAACCAACCAACCAAAACAAAACAAAACAAAAACTACACCAAACTGCACTTTGGTGACAAAAAGCAATCAGCCGGGATTGTTGGCAAAGATAGCACTTTAAAGACGCTTGGGGACCTTGCCGTCACCAGCAGTCCAGCCATTGCCAGGCTGTTCATGATGGTGTAGAACTGGCAAAAAGGAGAGAGAAGAAAAGGGATGAGGGCATGCGAGTCCCAAATGTAATTCACCGAGAACCAGGTTTTCAGGTCCCAAGTGCGTCTAGATGTCTTCCTCTGGAGAGCACTCTTTACATCATGGGGTAGGCGATGACAAAATAGTTAAGTTCTGAATTGATCAGCTTTCTGTATTTCCTGTAAATTTCCCGTAGGGTCCTATCCTCTTCATTTGTCTCATATCGGTTTGTATAAATTCTCACCTGTGCCGATAAAGAAACAGCACACACACACACACACACACACACACACACACACACACACAGAGATGACTATATCACTTAAGACCTGACAACCATCCAAATGCATCTACACACACAATTAATGGATGAATCGGAAAAAGCCTAAGCACAATTTCCCTTGGTATCCATGAGGGATTGATTCCAGGACCCCCCCCCCCTTGGAATCTAAGGTGCATGCGTGGATGCTCAAGTCCCTTATGTAAAATGGAACAGTGTGTGCAAATTATCTCTGGGTTGCTGATGCTACCTACTATAATGTGAATGCTATGCTTAGGCAGTAACATCAAAAAAATATACATCTTCGGTAAAGACAAAGTTGGCTGGCTTCGTGGACATAGAGCCCCCGGGAGACCGAGCAGAAGAGATGTCCAGATCCTGTCTGTGGGGCTGGACGTCTCCCACAGACAGAATCAAGGGCAGTGCTTGTCTCGGGTCTGTCTCCTGTCCCAATTTCCAACCTGCGTCAGAGCGGAAGTGCCGAGTCTAGATGTCCCCCGCTTCCACCCCTGCAAACAGCTGAGGGTGCTCACCTTTAGTGTGCGCAGGGAGCACTGCCCCTCCTCCTGGCTCTTCAGGATTCGCTCCACAAACTTAACGTCCAGGAAAGCCCAGATTTTGAAGTAAAACAGCTTTCGGCAAGCCAGGATGAGGAGATGTAGCTGCTCATCTAATGACTCGTGATTGTTGTTGAACTCAAATGTTAACTTCTAGAAAAGCACCGGAGAAGGAGGGTGGGGGGAAGGGGTCAGAGGTGCCGGGACTGCCTGGACTCTTGGAGGTCTCCAGGGACTTAAGTCAAATTTGGCTTTTTGTCAAGTTTGGTTCTTCTCATCCCCAGCTTATTGCTGACCACAGGAACGAACCATGGGGATGACTGTTTACTGCTGTGAGCCAGCGGGAAGAGGCTGCCTGTCGCCGGCAAGGCACCTCCTGGCTCAGGCTTCACAGCTCTCCAATAAGGATAAGGGAGGTTTTCTTGGTTGACAGCCAGCCCAGAAGTTCCCTGAACCCCATGTGCAAGGAGTGAACAGTGGTCTTGTGAGGAGTGTGTGGGAGGCCTGCGAGTGTGCTTGGTAGCATCTAGAACTTTGACAAAGAATTAATTGAGCATGGAGAAGCCTAGCAGAGAACAGATAGCAGGCTTTCCTGTGAGCAATAGCTCCTCACCAGCTCCTGGGGGGCCTCACTTGCCAATTACCTGCAGGGTGTTCCGGAAGGAGGGCAGAATGTCTGTCAGAGTGGGCCGCATGGACCAGTCTGGGTCACTGAAATAGCAACTTCTTAGGCTGATGCTTCTGACTGGAATCTCCTGCAGCAAGATCCGGGCCAGGCGCTCATACTTCATGACTCGCTCGAAGAAGAAGTTCACCTTTAGGTTGCTGGCCTGCCTGGCCAGCTTGGCCCAGGACATGCCCCAAACTACCTGGCCGTGGGGGTCGTGAACGTGGCATTTGATATTCATGGTCCGGAGGGTGCCAGCATTGTTGTCACTCAAGGTCTCGAGCAGCTCGTCAGAGATACAGTTGTAGTTGAGTGTTAGGAACGCCAGGTTGTGGAATGTAGCCATGGCCTTGTTGAACTGGGAGCTGCCATAGACGGCCAGGTGATGGCTGAAGAAGTCCTCAATGTTGAGCTCTGAGGCCAAGTTCTCATTCCGAAGGTAGCTCAAGGAGTTGAGGATGTGGCAGCCTTGCTCCACTGTCAGCCGGGCCCCTTTCAGGCTGAGATGGTCCAGGTGTTTGCCCATTTTCTTTAAGAAAAAACTCAAGCTCTTGATGAGCGACCCCCTGATGCTGTTTCTCCACACCAGGCGGTCCAGCTCCAGGTGTTGGATAGAGAGTGACTTTAGGCGGTTGTTACTCTTGCCGAGGCACGACAGGAGGCCTCTCATGGTGACTTGGAACTTCTTGGTCAAGACAGCATTGTAAGGGTTCAGGAACTTGATTTCCAAGTGTTCCAGGTAGCGGCCAAATTTCTTAACGTACCAGAGCGCTGACTCGAATTCAGATGCATGTACTCTAGATGGCCTCCCGCTGAACGTGATGGTCCTGTATCGCCAGAGGTCAGCTGAGTACATCATCTGGTTCCACTTTCTGCAGACCAGGGCAGCTCTGGACCTGTCCCTGTCTCCTAGCCACCAGAAAATACGTCGCAGGCACACATCTGGCAGAGTGGCCCAGCAGCTCTGCTCTTGGGGCTGGATCACTTCACCTTCTTCGTCCATCAATGGACCCAGATGTACAGTGTAGTAGTGTGGTGAGCAGGGCTTCCCAAAATGGGGAAAGAAATACAATCACGTGTTTTCTGTGAGGGGTAAAAAAGGAAGATTGTTACCTGCCAAGCAGAAATCAAACTCAATTGAACAAACCTTCTCTGTGCTTCTACTGTACTGTATCAGACCCTGGGCCAGACATAGGTGGTGCATTAGTGAATCCAGGACACACCCCACACCTGTGAAGACTGCATGTTCATCCAGGGTCACAGACCAGCACCCAACTTCAGCACAGTGAGAAGCTGCCTGTGGTGGCATATTCCTGTAATCCCAGGACTCAGGAGGCTAAGGCAGAAGGAACATAAGCTCAAGGCTAGCCTGGGCTACACATCGAGTCCCAGTTGCCCTGGACTATGTAGCAAGACCCTGTCTCCAAGAAAACAAAACATCCAGTGAGTGTTAACACAGCAAGAGAAGTGGGGAGACCCAGGCATGCTCACGATACAGGGGGGATAGCACAGATAAGAAGTAGTTTCTGTGTAAGGAGGGCTGCTCAGAAGAGGTGATATCCGTGATAAGTTTTGAAGGACGAGTAGCCTATGCAAGGCAGACCAGGCTGGCCTCGTGGCAGAGGAAAAGCTGACTGTATTACAGGCAGAAGGAACAGTAGGTGTGAAGCCACAGAAGCGTGAAGGCATGTGATGTGCTCACACTGAGGGGTAACAATGGCTTTCATATCACGAACTTGCAAAGTCTATTTAACAAAACAAACGAGCAAACAAAACTTTGCTTGTAAACGAACTGTCCAAGGTTATGAGCCTCTACCAGGGACAGTGTGGATCAAGAGGCCAAAAGGGAATATGGAAAAATGAAGACAAAAACAAAAACAAAAAATCAAACCAAAAGCTGGGGTGTTGCTTGGTAATAGAGTACTTGTCTAGCACACTTGAAGTTCAGGGTTGATCCCTAGCACTGCATAAACTGGGCATGTGGTGCTTCCCAGAATGGTGTGTGTGTGTGTGTGTGTGTGTGTGTGTGTGTGTGTGTGTGTGTGTATGCTGGGTGGGCAGGGGTGTCACATAATCAAACCCAGGCAAAGTCACAGGCTAGAAGAATATGTCAGTGGGCTACAGAGCTATAGATGTGTGTGTGTGCACATGTGCTGTGGTGTATATGTGGAGGCCAGAGGACAGCCTCTGGTATAGGTTTCCACCTTTCCCCTTTTTTGAAACAGAGTCTTTTTTACAACTTCTCTCTTGCTGTAGATAGCCTAGATTACAACTACAGCTTTATATGGGTCCTGGGGATAGATTCGAACTCTTGTCCCCACACCTGCATGGCCAGTGCTTTACGCACTGAGCCTTTTCCTGTTCCTGAGTTAAATACTTCTTTTTTTCAAGGCTCCCCCAAGTAATAAATGACACTCCCACTGGCAGAAGGTAATGGGACTTAGTGGCCTATCAATTGCTACCGTGATCTTAGTAAATTTCTTCGTGTCTCAATGTCTAGTCTGTTAATAGGAGTAGTCATTCCTTTTTCCTAGTTTTGGGAAACTTGAACGAACTGATGCAGAGAATACAGCTGGGAGGTAGAAGGAGCTGCTGTAAACTCTGGCTGCCATTAGTAAGTTGGGGCCAAGGTACTTCCGCATTTTTTTTTCTGTGAAGATGGGAACACGCCCATTTTGCAAATAGAGAATCGGAGGGTGTTGGGAGGTCAAGAAAGTTTCCTAGTGAGATGGTGTTCTAAGTGTATGGGTGTGGGATTCGAACCTACGCTAGTATTCCCAAACCTCGGCTTGGTCCACTACAATATGACACAGCTGCCAAGCAGCGAGGAAAACTTAAGGCTGTCCCATCACCAGGGCAGCCCGCCCCTCCCACGCGGGCCTCGCGGCTGCGCCGCCGGGGCCACAAGCTGCCGGCCGCCGGGTGCGTGCGTGCCTTGGGCCTCCCGTTACCGACTCACTGCGCCCCGCTTGGGCTGCAGGGACGCCGAGCGCGCCTGCCCCTCCGCCCGCGCTGCTGCTCCCACGCCGACTCTGAGAGCAACCCGGGCAGCGCCCTGCCCTCGCAGCGGCCAAGGCCACCGCCGCCTTTGTGACGCGCCGTCACCCACTGGCTCTGCTGGAGCCCGCCGGTCGGTGGGTCCCAAACCGGGAGTTGCCAGATCCACTGCTGGGGAGGGCGCTGCACAGACCCACCAGGAAAGCGCCAGGAGGAGGCAGGAGGCTGGAGGGAGGCGCACCTTGGGAAGCTCGCCAGGCTCCCTGCTCTTAACCTCTGCAGCAGGGAAGAGGTCTGATCCCAACACTGTGCTCAGGTCCGTTCCTTCCAGTTTTGACCTCCAGAAGCTCTGGGCCTCCATTGCTGTCCTCAGATGAGGACTTCTTCCACCCCCACGCTAGCCGTTAGCTGTGGGCCTCCACTCTCCTATTCTCAGATAAGGTAGCTCCTCACCCTCAAAGGGTAGGTTTCAGATCGGGTCTGCAAGCAGATCTGACTTGAACCTAACAAAGCCTGAGCTCGGTTCCCCTTCCCAGCTTCCAGAAGGTGGTGCACATCTAACCCACCCATCTTGCTTGGTGAGTAAGTAACCTTTTTGCTGAAGCCCAGGGCTGAAGGTTGAGCATTCTGTCAGTCCCCAGAAAAGCTGCCTCAACCACTTATCCCTTACTTTACTGCTAAAGCCCCCCCCCCCCCCAACGCTCCAACCCCACCTAGGGCTTCACCTTGTCACCCTCCTCCTCTCCGACATGAAAGACATGGCTCCCACTTCAAAGGAGATGAAGAAATAGTTTATTCTGGAGCCAAATATGAGTGATCATGCCCCAGAAATACAGATTCAGTTTGCCCCAAATAACCACGTTAAAGCAGGGAGACCTTGCTATGGGCCCCAGGTGCCTGCCGTACGATGACTTTCTTAGCAGTAGGAATCTGCTCATATGTTCCAAAACCTTTACCTAAGAGTCACAGGATATTAGGTCACACACAGATGTGGACGACAAGTGCCTATTTAAGGAGCTGAGATAGCTCAAGATACTTGGTGCTGGACTGGCAATGAGCTAACCTCTCCACAGCCCTGGAAGTTGTAGTCAGTCAGCCTTTGTAGAATGCTCAGTGTGTGGTGGCTGCTTTCTGGAACTTGAATTCTCCATGCTCTGCCCTTCCCTACCCCTCCCTCTTCCTTTCTCCTACTGTATCACCCCCCTCGAGCCCACACACTCCTAACACGTTTTGTTCTGAAAACCTATGAGGAAGGCCAAGAAAGAGGACAGGAGGAAACTCAGGACAAAGCTGGGGTCTCTCGGGCAACCCAGCAGTTGAGTCGAGGTGCTTAGTCAGGAGCTGAGTGGCAGCACACAAGGCCTTTTCTCCCGGTCATCTGTAGCTCCTGGGCCAACAAGGTCTGGCTCAGAAGAAGGAAAAGGCCTAAGGTCATCTTCTGAAGCCCAACGATTAAAGGCTGACTCTTTTCCTAAATAAAGACCACCCAAAGTGCTGAGATCCAGCGTGGCCATGGCTGTTGTAAACATGAGCACATGTCAGCTGTGGTTACCTGCACTAGACCTGCATATGCATGTGTGTGTCAGCATGCGCGCGCGCGCGCACACACACACACACACACACACACACACACAGACACGCGCGCGTGAAAGCACTCATGCACGCAGGCTGAAGACATGAAGGAAGGGGAACTGTTGGGAAGAAAGGGGGTTCACAGGAGTGGGATGGGGATGAGGGAAGGCAATGGAGATAAGTATGATTACAGTACATTGTTAACATGTATGAAACTGCCAAGAATTAAAGGGAAAAAAATTCAATTACAGGGATTGGTAAAGAAAACAAAGTTGTGACCACCATGAGAGGAAGCTGGGAAGCCAGTGTGAACTGGGAAGCCAGTGTGAACTCGAGCTCTTCTGAATCCTAGGACCTCTTTCCTCTGGGGCTAGCTGGTTCTTCTCACTTGATTTTTCTTTTGATGAGCTAACTTCAGGCACTTCTCCTAAAGAAACGAAAATAGATGTTAAAACGCTTCAAGTGAGAGACAAGTTGCTAAGTATTTACTAGCTTTTCTGTTGCTGGTCCTCCCCACCAACAGGGACTGTCAAAGCCAGGGCTTTGCGAGTGCTAGACCAACCCTCGACCTCACAGCTAGCTACATCTTAGTCCCCTCCAATGCTGCTGGTTTCTGGTCTCTGGGCGTTGCTGTCCCTTGTTCTGAAGCATGCCTGACTGAGACTGGGATGAGATGGCATGGAAGAGACTTGGGGTAGTGGTTAATGGAGGCGGACATCACACATGTAGGGCGTCTTTGTAGCCACTGAAATCAGTGAGCAACATTGTTACTTGGTTAGTGCCAAGTCATAGAACAGAAGCATAGAAGGATGTGTATAACAACACTCCCAGATGTTCATGTTTGCCAACGGGTATATCATAGGGCTGTCGAGTAAAATACAGGGTGACCCATTAACTTTCAGTTTCAGAGACTCAAAGAATCACTGTATGAGAGACAATGATTCTCCCTTTATGAGAGTCCGGGAGACTCAAAAGTGTCGAAACAGAGGCAGTTGAAGCAGTTTTACGACCTTGCAAAGTCTCGAGAGAAAAGGTAAAAATGGCTAGTGCTCCCATTTGGTGCAGAACAGTGATTTTCATAGTTCTCAGGTGGGAAAAATTGCTGCCCAACTTTCCCCATAGGTTGGCCCTCGAGTTAGATTTTCTAGAGTAGCCTCCCAACCCTGGGGGTGGGGGTGGTGTGTTGAGATTCACTTCTATCCTAGTCCAGAGGCTCAGTCATGTAGCAGACTAACTTTTCAACCCTGACGTAAACTAAGAAGCACCCAGGCAAATGGGTGCCAGCTGCTAGCCAGAGAAGGCTTGGGGCTTCCTGTTTGCTTGCAATTCCATAGCGAGCTCTAAAGGCACTTTTATACTGAAATGCATTTGCAGACGGGAAATGGACCATAATGGTGGATTTCTTACAATTTCTCAGGTCATACTTAGATTAAAACCAGTCTCCATTTCTTTGAAATTCAAATTTGATTGGGCATATCGTATTTCTACTTGCTAAGTCTGGCAAGGATGGAGAAAAGTGGGGAAGGAAATACTCCACTAAGGATGAAATTAGTTCATTTTTTATAAAACTTATACATGCATAAATAAATTAGAAAAAAATGGCCTCGCTTTTTGAAGGACTGCTCATCTTATAAAGTAAAAAAAAGGTAAATGGCAGAGTAAGGAATATACTAAGATAATGTGGGTGGCAGACAGTTCAACCCTGTGGTTCATGTTAGAGAAGATAAGGCTTTGAAAGGACGCCCGCGGGCTGCTGGAATTGCTTCCTCAGTGATGTGACTGCGGACATGGAGTGGGGAGGGGGGAAGAATTAGCTTGTGTGTGTATGTGTGGTGTTGAGGAATGAATCCAAGGCCTTATGCATGATGGACAAATGTTTTGCCACTAACCTATATACCTAGTCCTCTCTCCTACTATTTATTTATGTATTTATTTTTCAACATAGGGGATCACTATATAACTTAGTTGGTCTTGAATTCACTATAAAGCCTAGGCTGTCCTCAGACTCGGGGTCCTTCTGTCTCAGCCTTCCTTTTTAAAAAAATTGTGATATTTGCACGTATGTGCAGATATGTGTGTGAAGGTCCATCCTCCCACGGGTAAAGGTCAGAGTTTGCTATCTTGGTATCTTTTCTTGATTGCATCTCTGCTTTGTTTTGGGACAGGGTCTCTCACTGAACCTCAACATCACTATTTCAGCTAAACTGGCTGGCCAGCGAGTGCCTGGGACCCACCTGTCTCTGTTCCCCTAGCACAGAGGTTTCAGGCATGAGTCACTGTGCCTGGCTTTTGCGTGGGCTCTGCAGATTTGAGCTCACATTCTCATGCTTACACAGCAAGCACTCTAACCATTGAGCCATCTCCCCAGCCCCCCGTCTCAACTTCCCAAGTGCTGGGATTACAGGAATCCACCTTTAACCCTAACTGAATCAGCTGCTTTGTTTTTTTGTTAACTTGACACAGCCTAGAGTCATCTGGGAAGAGGGACCTCAATCGAGAAAAATGCCACCATCACATTGGCCTGTAGGCAAGTCTGTGGGATTATTTTCTTGATTAATAATTGCTGTGGGATTTTGGGTAGTACCATGGGTGCTATAAGCAAGGAGGCTGAGGTCGGGCGGAGGTGGCACACGCCTTTAATCCCAGCACTCGGGAGGCAGAGCCAGGCGGATCTCTGTGAGTTCAAGGCCAGCCTGGTCTACAGAGCGAGATCCAGGACAGACAGCAAAACTACACAGAGAGCCGGGCGGTGGTGTCGCACGCCTTTAATCCCAGCACTCAGGAGGCAGAGCCAGGCGGATTTCTGTGAGTTCGAGGCCAGCCTGGGCTACCAAGTGAGTTCCAGGAAAAGGCGCAAAGCTACACAGAGAAACCCTGTCTCGAAAAAACCAAAAAAAAAGAAAAAAAAAGAAAAAAAAAAAAGAAAAAAAAACTACACAGAGAAACCCTGTCTCTAAAAAAAACAGAAAAAAAAAAAAAAAAAGGAGGCTGAGTAAGTCATGAGAGAGCAAGCCAGTGAGCAGCATTCCTTCATGGCTTCTGCATCAGTTCCTGCTGTGGGTTCCTGCCCTGACTTCCCTGAGTGATGGACTACAAGCAGCAAGGTGAAACAAAACCCCTTTCCAAATTGCTTTTGGTCATAGTGTTTTATCATAGCAATAGAAAGCAAATGAAGACACTGAGCTAGTTTGAAAATCAGCTTTCAGTTGATATGATACCAAATAATGTCTATTATAACAAAATTCAGTGTTTTTTTTTTTTTTAAGACAGGTTTTCTATGTAGTCCTGGCTATCTAAGAATTCTCTATGTAGAGCAGGATGGCCTGGAACTCATAGAAATCCACCTGCCTCTGCCTCTGCCTCCTATGTGCTAGGATGGTGTGGGATGTCCTGTATTCTGTGAATATATGTTGCTATGATTGATTGATAAATAAAACGCTGATTGGCCAGTAGCCAGGCAGGAAGGATAGTGTAGGCAGGATGAGGAGGAGGAGAATTCTGGGAGGTAGAAGGCTGAGGGAGGGAGACACGGCCAGCCGCCACGAGGAGAAGCATGATGTAAGATACTGGTAAGTCATGAGCCATGTGGTAAGGTATAGATTTATAGAAATGGGTTAATTTAAGATATAAGAACAGATAGCAAGCAGCCTGCCATGGCCATACAGTTTACAAGTAATATAAGTCTCTGTGTGTTTACTTGGGGGACACAAGTGGGAGAGATTTATCCCAACTGCTGGCAGGCCAGGACACAGGAAAACTTCAAACTTCAGCTACACTAGGATTTAAGGCATGCACCGCCACGCCTGTCCATATTTTGTGTTTTTTTAAAGTATCAAATAACTAAGGCCTCTAGCCAAGAACTTAAGAGCATAGACTTTGGAGCCTTACATTGTAAAGTTCCTCAAATGGTTCTGCACCCCCCCCCAGTTTTCTCATCTGTAGAATGGGGGTAAATTAACCTGTCTTGTCTATAAGGAAGGTCAGCCATAGCCAAGCACTGCAACATTGTACAATGTTTGTAACATGCACAGTGGCTGACTACTAATGACAACTCTTATTAATACAAGAAATAGTCTTGGGGGCCCAGAAGATGGCTCAGTGGCTAAAAACGTTTACTATACAAACCTGGCAACTCCTGGAACTCTTATAGAGGCAGAAGGAGAAAAGTGACCCCACAGAGTTGTCCCCTGACCTCCACATGCTTACCAGTGTGACTCTCCTCCCAATAATAACATTGAAAGAGTAAAGCTTTCTTTAAAAAGAAGATAGTCTTGGATGGAAAACTCAGGACGAGGGAGCCAGCTATAAACCTGGGTGTGCTGGAGGCAAGCCACCAACTGCCTTCACATCTGGAGCCAGACCCTTCTGCTCTTAGGCCTAAGCTGCCTGTCTCCACCCAGAAAGAGCTCACCGACAGCCCTGGGCTTCGCTCATTCACTCCACAGCATTGGATCGTTGCCATGTGTCCGGGCCTGGTACAGCTGCAGACACAGACAGGAGAGAGCCAGTTCTACCCTCCAAGGGGACCCAGTGACTGGAAAGTGACACAAACCAGGTAGCAAGTGTTGGAGAGAATGTGCATGGGCACATGGAAGCAGGAAGAAGCATGGGAGGAACTGTCCAGCCACCACACTGGTCCACCACCCCCATCCCCCTACTTCCATCCCCAATCCCCCCATTCCCTCCCACCTCTGGGTAAACACTGTGCAGCTGGTTCCCAGCCAGGTGAGGAGGCAGCAGGGTGGAGGGGAGAGGAAGGTACCTGGTGCTGATTTAGAACAGGCAAGGGAAGTAAGATGCCACACTGAGAACACCTCTGAAAGATGTCATAGGCTGCTTCATCTCCTCCCGTAGCAAGAGCAGCCCTCTGCTGGAGCACAGACCTCAAAGACAGATCCAGGGTGCCATTTTGGTCCTTTGCCTCTTGCTTTGTTGAACTGTTTCTATTTTTTGCCTTTGGGCGAACATCTTTGTTCACTGTGGGTGTTTGATTTCCGGTCACCTGACTTGTAAAGGATGGAGGAAGGAGTTTTGGCTTTCCATCCTGAAGATATTTCACAGTCCTTGAGGCTGGACATTGTTTCTGCAAATGTGAGTTACATATGAATTAAAATAAATTACTTCAGCTGTAATAGTTGCACAATACAGCTGAGAGAACCTGCAAGGCTTCTCCCTATAAACACTTAGAGATGATGAAGGGTCAGCAGCATGGCTCTGTGGGTAAGAGTGCTTGCTGTCAAGCCGGAAGACCTGAGTCTGATACCTGAACTCACATAGTGGAATGAGAGAACCTAGCTCCACAAGACCTTCACTCAGTGTGTGTGCGTGCACGTGCGCCTACTTGTCTGTATGTGCGCGCGCGCACACACACACACACACACAGAGTAAATAATTGTAAAAAAAAAAATTGATCCTGAATAATATAAGGCAGACATTCGATGTTACAGCTGACTTTGTTGGAAGAAAAAAGACTCAGGTTGCAGGAATGGAGGTTTGGATGTGTCCTTCGAAAATCCAGGGGGCTGGAGAAATGGCTCAATCATGAAGGGGACTGGCTGCTCTTGCAGAGGACCCAGATTTGGTCGGCCCTCAGCACCCATGTCAGGCAGCCCACAACCACCTGTCACTTCAGTTCTAGGGGATCTCATACCTTCTCCTGGCCTCCACGAACACTGCACGTGTGTGGTGCACATACAGACAAGTAGGCACACACACGTATATAAACACAAATAAAAATAAATCCATCATGATGGTGCACGCCTTTAATCCCAGCACTCAGGAGGTAGAGGCAGGCAGATCTCTGTGAAGTCAAGGCCAGCCTGGTCCACAGAGTGAGTGCCAGGACAGCCAGGGCTCTGTAGAGAAACCTTGTCTCCCCGAAGTCCCTAAAAAAAATATACTAAAATCCAAATGTTACCCGTATTGTCATAGGCAGCTGCACCTTTGGGAGGTGAAGGTCGCAAAGGCTCCTGCCACACCAATGGGATTATAAAAGATGCTTCAAACAGCCTAGCCAGCTGCTCGCTTGCTCTTTGCCTTCTGCCATTCAAGGCAGCAGCAAGGCCCTCCCTAGACGCCAAATGACTACACTCCGAACTTGGATTGTGAGGCTTCAGAACGTTGAGAAACATTTCTGTCACGTAGAAATTGCCTAGCCTGTGGTCTTTTGTTATAGCAGTGCAAATGGACCAAGACACTGCAAGAGATGTGGAATTCGTCCTGTAACCAGGGGCTTGGATGAGAGGAAAATCCCAGCTGTGAAAGATGAGGAGAGGGAAGGAAAAGCCCCTCCCCTGCACGGCACTGCCAGGAATGGCAGGTTTCAGCTGCTGCAATAAAAAAGAGCCAGCTCATCCCTAAGTTCCCCTAGTCCTGATGTTCCATGGTGGGTGGTTTTTTTTTTTTTTTTTTTTTTTTTTTTTTAAGACAGTGTCTCACTATGTAGCCCTGGCTGTCCTGGAACTCACCATGTAGACCAGGCTGGCCTAGAACTCAGAGATCTGCCTGCCTCTGCCTCCCGAGTGCTGGGATATTCTATTTTTCTCTTTTTTTCTTTTCTTTCTTTCTTTCTTTCTTTCTTTCTTTCTTTCTTTCTTTTTTAAAGAAAGATAAACAGCTCTCTGTTCCAGGGGCGGGGTGGGGTAGGAGGGAGGAGATGAGTTCCTGGGAGAGAAGCTGTGGTGTTTCCCAGGAGGAAGAGCTCTAAGACAAGAGTGCAGCTTGGCTCAGCAACGCACTAAAAAGCATCCAAGGCTATGGAGGGCTAAGTCTGGCAGCGCTCTTCCATAAAACCGGTCAGTCAACCAGCTACAACATCGGACATCTCCAGAGTCCCCTTTTAATATTCAGTATGCTGTCGGTTTATTATGGAAACATGGAAAAGTCCCTTTTTGTCTCATCGGGGAGTTCACAGCTAAGTACCATGTGGACAGAAAGCCTAAAAGGGCAGGGCCTGTTGAGGCCCACATTGCAAAGTCTAGGTCCTGAAGGTTGGTGATGGTCGGAGGTGATCAGGGCCATCAGGAGTTGTCAGGGCTGCTGCTTGAAGGGATAGGCACAAATGAAAACCAACTATGCATGCCAAATTTGCCCAGAGAACCTTGAAACATAGCAAAACAAAACAAAGTGAAATAACAAACATCAGAACCTTTGATAACTGAGCCGTGCAAAATTGGTCTGGAATCTGCTGTTCATACCTTGCTTGTTGGAGTATGAACTGGCTATTGCACAGCTAGAAAGTGGGATGTTGCTACTCACCATATGGGAGACATCCTTATTTTCTGGAATCACTTGTTTGCAGTAATTGCAATGGGTTTTCCTTCCAGGAGATACAGTTCTCTTCCCTGAGTAATCACAGAAACATCACAAATGACTGTTCTTGACGATGGCTAGCCCACGTCTCCCCAAGATGCTCCTAAGGCCTGTATTCATGAACATTGACCATCCTTAGGCTAGCCTAGTCCAGGAGAGAACTGGCTGGACAGCCATTTTTATTACAGTGGCACTGTTCAAGAGACCTTTTCCTAGAGCAGAACTGGTTTTTCGGCAATTGAAAGGGCTTATATACATAGCTGCCCCAAAAGGACACTAGCCTACTGGAGCGTGTGGCTCTGACAGGCCTTGCCCTTCTCCCCCATTCCCTCTGCTTTGCTAAAAACCATTAGATTACATTCCTAAAGCTAGCCACCAAGGTCTAGTCCCTTAGTTGGCCACTTCCTCTTCCTGAGGCTGACTACCAAAGTCCAGCTGTCAAAGTATTGAAGTCCAGCCATCAAAAACCACCTTTGACACCTAATTAACATGCCCAATTAAAATTAAACACCTCATCCTAACATGGGCTTTCCCCTTTTACCTTTATAAACTGCCATTTTCCTATGGACTATGTCTGCTTCCTTTTTATCCAGAGGCATTCCTTTGTCCCTCCAGGACACATACCCCTGCCCCCTTTCCCTTGTTCCCTTCCCCTTCTTCCTCTTCCTCTATCTCCTGTCATTGTCTCTTATTCCCGTCCTCTGCCCCTCTGAGGCAAATAAATCTTTGTTCTGAGAACTTGGTCTTGGGGTCCTGAGCCAATACATTTCCTTTCATGCCCAGACTGCCTAATTGAGCTATTCTCAATTAATTTCCAAGCTCTGTGATGCAACCAGGTGTTGGTTGAGGTTGTGTTGTATTGAAGATGTCAATGAACTTTGTGTTGGGAACTGTTGGGTGGGTGGGAGGCCAGGCACAACAGAGTGAAGGAAAAGTACATGAATCTCATACTTCCTGGCTTTCTATTGGCCAATTTTGATCTTGGGTAGAGTGTTGCCCTGGTGGGACTTACTAAGGGGTTTCACAGTTTCTCCACATGCCATCACATTGTCAAAACAACCAATGGAGTCAACAAAAGATGTGAAACATCGGCAACTGTGTTCTTTGCAAACACTCCTATAACAAGGTCATTGAATTGGGTCAACAGTCTACAGAGAGATCAGTGGTAGAGCACTTGCCTAGCATGTATGAGACTCTAGGTTCAAATCCCCCAGCACTGGAACTGGAGAGAGAGGTGGGGGGAGAATCTGAAGTGATACTGGAAAGCTGATATACAAAGCTACAGTCTGGAGCTGTAGCAGCCTCCCATCCGCCCATTGCTAATTGCTGTGGTTTGACATAAACACCCCACTCTCTTGGTGAGCTGATGTGTTTGAACATTTGGTTCTTAGCTACTAATGCTGTTTTGGCAAGTTGTGGCACCCTTATGAGGTAGAGCCTCACGGGAAGAAGTGGGGTGCTGGGTGCAGGCCTTGAGGTTTCATAGCCCAGCTCTAGGTCTTGTGCTTTCTGCTTCCCACTGTGGGTTCAGAGTGACTGACCAGTGCAGTGTCTCATGTTCCCGCCATCATGCCTTCCCCAATGTAACAAGACTGTTCTCTCTCAAACTATAAGCCTCAGTAAACCCTTTCTGCCTGAAGCTTTTCTGCTTCTTACCATTTTTTTTAAAATCACAGAATGGTAAAAATAGGCAATACACTCAGGTGGAAAAGGAGGATCTAGGCTTAGTGCTGGAAGCTGGACTGTCCATTCTTATTTGTTCCCTGATCTCTTTGTGTGTTTTTCATCTATAGGATGATTTGGGTGGCCTTACCAGGCTAAGATTATGTCTTTAGAATGTGAAGAAAGTCCTTCATATTTAGGATTGCCCATGACTTTCTTTCCCTCTTCTCTGTGGCTCTTACGCCCCACCCCTGGCTTCTTGTCTTCCCTGGATAAGTCACTGAAGGGCACTACAGACCCACGAGAAGACTACTCCAGTCCAATACAGACTTGGACACCCTCTTCTCTCCTGTGCTGTTAAGAGTTCCTGTCCTTGCATCCTGCCCAGGAGACTGTCTGGCCCTGGAAACTATCCTCCTTCTTTCCAGCTTCTCTCTGATGCTCACCTTCTTCAGACCTGGCCTTTGCACTCAGACACACTTCTTTGTGCTGGGCCAACACTCCGAGTATGATGGGTTGGTTGCAGTGTGGACAACGCTCTATCCGGCTGCCACAGTGGGACTCGTGGACATCCAGCTTGCTGAGGTGCACAGCCAGGTCACAGAATTTGCACTTGGCAGGATGCTGTTGGATGTCCTTGGTCTGTGGGAAGATGGAGGACATGGGACCAACTGCACATACTGATGACATAGTGCAGACTACCCAAACTGTGCTGGCTAGTTTTATGTCAACTTGACACAAACCAGAGTTATCTGAAAGGAGGTAATCTTAATTGAGAAAATGTCCCCATAAGATCCAGCTGCAGGACATTTTCTTAATTAGTGACTGATGGGGGAGAGCCCAGCCCATGGTGGATGGTGCCATCCCTGGGCTGGTGGTCCTGGGTTGTATAAGAAAGCAGGCTGAGCCAGCCATAGGAAGCAAGGCAGTGAGCAGCACCCCTCCACGATCTCTGCATCAGCTCCTGCCTCCAGATTCCTGCCATGCTTGAGTTCCTGTCCTGACTTCCTTAAGCCAAATAAACCTTTTCCTCCCCAAGTTGCTTTGGTCATGGAGTTTCATCAAAGCAGTAACCCTGACTAGGATACAAACACATGTACACAGAGATGCGGGTTCTAGCCTCGGCCCCTGGCCTCTCCTTACATCACTCGGGCTAGCCATGCTTCACACTTGGGTCCGTGAGATCCTAGAGGATGGAGACCTCTCTTTCCTCTAGCACCTAACCTAGGCCTCAAAAGGTGTTTGTTTGTTGGACCAGTTTGAATCTAAATGGTTGCCTGAGCTTGATTCTCAGATAAAGCCACAGGAGAAATTGATTTGGAAAGGTAGGAAAGAAGACTGAGCTGGGCCCATCTGCCTCCTCCTTACAATTCTCTAAAAGGATGTTTAGCCTTTCTTAAAATGGACCCCTTGCCTTGCCAGGCCGGGAGTCCCACAGCAGAGAGTAGAAAGGGAAGCAAATGGGGCAGCCTCAATGTAGCACACACACAAAAACCTTTTCTCTTCCCAAACTGAGGTCAGACACGGAGGGGCGAAATGACTTTCCCACAGGGCCAGGGAGGACTGGGCTCCAGCTACTGACCCCAGGCCTCTGTCCAGACTGCCACCTGCTCACCTGCTGGTGCACAGCTTCTGCATGCTCCTTCATCTTTGACTTTGGGATGGGCTCCTCACATTCCGGGCAAAGGACCAGGAAGCGCAGGCAGTGGGCCTCGTGGAGGGTGAAGTGGACAGAGGCCACATTTCTTTTGCTTCAGGATAAAGTGGGGGAGAAAGAAAGGCTCATTGTTTCAGTATAAAGCATGAAGCCTTGTTGCATACCTAGGGACAGCTCTTCCCAGACCTTCAAGCATGGAAAATACTGTGACGCCGATGATGCTCTCCTGCCCTGCTTGTGCTGGTGAAAAGGCAGAAAAAAATTGCCATCATAGAATAATTGTGAGGGCAGTCTACAAAGTACTGCACTGCCCAGGAGAGTGGACAGGAAGGAATGGTAGAAAGGGGTTACCAGGGCAACAGGGCAACTTTCGAGAGTGATGAGAGATTCATTTCCTAGGTTGTGGGATGGTTTCACAGGTAAGTAATGTATGCCAAAATGTGTACTTTAAACATGTACAAGTCAGCTGTGCCTGTTGGCACAGGTTTGTCATCCCAGCTGTTCATGAGACTGAGACAGGAGGATGGCTAGTTCAAGGCCTACCTACGCAATAGAGTGAGTTCAAGATCAGCCTGGGTAAGTTAGTGAGACTTGTCTCAAAATGCAAAGTAATAATAGAGCTGGGATACAACTCAGTAGAGTGATCGGCTGCTCTGTAATACCCTAGACTTAGTGCCAAGGACTCTCCATTCTCAGAGATGGGGGAAGGAGGGAGGTGAAGTTTATTCTTTTCCATTTATCTCTCAGTAAAGCCATCATGAAAACAAAATAACGTCAGTTGGCATTGCAGCCCTGCCGTGACCACACTTTCTACAAGGGTGGAAACAACTTTCAGAATATCCAAGGGTTTCGCAACTCTCCAAGAGCGAAAGTCCACCCAGCTGTCTCCTGTCCCTGGGCTCTCCTGGGACAGCTACTCAGAGAGATGCTGAGACCCCGGGGGAGTCTGCTAGGGCAGGGTGTTCTCACTGGAAATGTGTAGGGGATAGTTGTTCTATGACCTTGCTGCTCCTTTTACCCACTCAGGCTGATGGCCCTAAAGGGCCAGCTGTCCATGGGAGGTGCCCCAGGGCCTAGCACCTGGGCCATGGCCACAAAGGGACCATGAAAAGTCTCACTGCTGTTAGCCTGATCAGGCTGTCCCCACAGCTGCACAGGGTGATGTCTCCTTGCTCAGCTTCCCCTCTCTCTGTTCTGCCTACCTATATACTCAGCACTTTTTCCAGAGTCTGGAGATCCTGGGGAGGCTTAACCCAGTAACTGCAGCAGGTAGGTTCTGCTGAGAGACAGGCTCGCTTTACTTGGAGATGCGGTCACTGCTCCCTGCTCTGTCCTCCAAGTTCTACCGCCCAGCTCCTTTGTCAGGTGGAGGGTGGGAATAACCCTGGAGCAATTTCCAGGTCCCTCTCACAGATGGGTGGGAAGACTATGTTGCCAGGGCCGCACTCTAGGACCTAAGCTTCAACAGGAATGAATAGCCTGCTAGGGACAAGTCCCTGGCTACTTGACTTCGTGGCTGACCAGCCAGCCTGAAACGCCCATGCTGAGGGAGTGTAGTGACGTTGAGGTATCACTGACCACTCTGTCCAGAGATCTAGTTTTGGCTTCCTCACCCCAGGAGTTCCAGTCCCTTCTGGCTTGCCCTCTGGTGTGTCCCTCATCCCGTTCACTTCAGAAATAGCTTTCTCTGCTCTGCCCCCCCACCCCCTCTGGCCAGCCCTGGAAAAAGTGCTTTCTTACCAGTTCCTGCACACCTGGAAGTCAGCCTCCATGCTCTGCTCCTCGGAGGACTTCTGTGGAGTTTCCTTTATTGCATACAAGAAAACAAAACTGAAAGTGTTTCCCCAGCCTGGCTCACAGCAGCAGGGAGGAGGGGACTTGGAGAATTCTCAGCCCAGGGCGGTTCCCAGGTCCCTGTAACTGAACACTCCCAGAAGGTCACTCTGCAGCATGATCTAGTCCCCTGCCATGCCCCTCATCCTGAGCTACTGTGACTGTGACCTCCAGGGTGGGGGTGAGCGGGCAGGTCTCCTCTGGGCAGCACAATGGCTCCTTCCTCCCTCCCCCCCCCCCCTTCTGGTTTCACTCTATCTGGATCCCCACCCCTTTCTCAACCTGTGACATCACTCCTCCACGCTGCCTCTGTCTGGTCTATCCTCCGGTGTTAAGCTCCCCGAAGAAGCAGCCCCGGCACCTGCACCCTGCTTGGGTTCCAGTTTATAGTGACTGAAAACAAGGTCTGTGAGGAACTGGGCACGGGGTACAGGGTGCTGGATGCTCAGCCTATAGACTTTGGGGCAAGTCTTGGGAGTGGCCATGCATAACTCCCGAGTTCGTCCTCTGCTGCAAAAAACAGTGATGACGAAGTCATTTAAGTCCAAGGTGACAGGCACCACAAGGAGCCCTTGTCATTCCACCCTCAAATGGTAAAACTGAGGCACCGAGGGGCTGAATAACCTATACAAGTTCCCAGGTGACATGGCCCATGGTGTGATTCCTCTGCCGTAGGTGCAGGGCTGAGGGATCTGCACTCGGATCTGGTCAAGATAATTCACTGGGAGCTTGAGTCGTCTCAGCCTTCTGGAGGCTGTTTCATGGCTGACTGGGTTACACTGGGACTCCTGGGGGACTTTAGGGTCCAGGTGCTCCTAGAAATTGCATGCAAAATCGATGCCATGTCAGGATACGTTTGTTCTCAAGGAGGTGCCCACAGCCCCAGGCAGCTGACTAACGAGACTAGCTAACCTCATGTCTTTGAACCTTGGAGGCTCAGAGAAACCAAATTCTATTAATGACAGCCCATGTCCAAAGTTATTATATTGCATAATGGAATCAAGTGGAGATAGAACTATTGCTGGTTTCTTGTGTTCATTTTCTCCCCCCTTCCCCCCAGGAAGAAACAGTCATTAGTTACGTGAATAAAGATGACAAAAGAGGTTTTGGGGATAGACAGTGGTATGGCACTTGCCTACCATGCGTGAGACTTTGGGGCTGGTCTCTACTACACACACACACACACACACACACACACACACACACACACACACCACTATCACAAAATAGTATATCTCAGTGACAACTGATACATTCACAAACACAGCTACGCACCAAACAATGACATTTCTGACAACAGTGGGACCGTACACAGAACAGTAGCCACCTAAGATGGTAGAGAACCGAAGAAATCCTGTCACCCAGTGACGAAGCAGCTCTTGAATGTCCCAGTGCGGAGTCACTTGTGTTTGTACTGCCCTTGGCATGAATGCAGAGTGCAGGAGAGCAGAGGGCTGCGTGAATGTGGTCAAGTTGCATTACACACATGCCCTAAAATGCCAAATAATAAACAAAAAAAAATACAGCGCACAGAATTATACATAGGACAGGTTCGGTGGGAAAAGCACCCGCCACTAAACCTGAGTTTAAACCCTGAGTTCAGGTCCCAGGACCTACATGGTGGGAGGAGAGAACCAACTCCCTGGAGTTCTTCTCTGACCTCCACACACACAAAATGCATGTTTTGAATATTATGTATAGTACTTGATAATCATAACAGGCAGCTATATTACTGGCTTGAGGATTTACTATGCTATACTTCCTGTTGTCATTATAGAATATATTCTCTTTATCTATAAGCAAACTGTTTAGGGCTAGTCAAGTAGCCCAGTAGTACATCACGTGCTTAGCATGCACGAGGCCCTAGATTCCACTAGATTCCATTCTTAGCATGTTTAAAAGAGAAGAAATAATCAAGAAATCACAATGTTTACTTTTGACATTAAAAACAATGATGCGGGACTGGAGAGATGGCTCAGAGGTTAAGAGCACTGGCTGTTCTTCCAAAGGTCCTGAGTTCAATTCCCAGCAACCACATGGTGACTCACAACCATCTGTAATGAGATCTGGTGCCCTCTTCTGGCCTGCAGGGACACATGCAGGCAGAGCACTGTATACATAAACAAATCTTTAAAAAAAAATGACAATTCAGAATGAAGAGTTGGCTTGTTCTGAGCCAATTTGAATGACCGTGCCCCAGAACTATAAACAAATTAACACCCTGGTTCCCCAAGAACATGGTCCTCCAAGGACATGTGTTAACCTTTGAATGTAATATGTCTGCTGCAGACTGTTGTGTTTGAATACTTGTCCACCCCGGTTCCCCAAGAACATGGTCCTCCAAGGACCTGTGACACCCTTTGAATGGAACAGGTCTGCTACAGACTGTTGTGTTTGAATACTTGTCCCCTAGCTGACCGTGCTGTTTTAGGAGCTTGTGAAACTTTCAGGGAGTGGGGCCTGGCTAGAGGAAACAGGTCAATGAGAGGTGGGTCTTGTGGGGATAGGCCAGCCTTGCTTCCTGTCTAAGCACTTTCTGCTCTCTGTACTGGGTATCAAGCGGCTGTTGCATGCCCACTGCCATGCCTGCTCACCACGACGGATTAATGCCCCTTTGTATGAGTTACCTTCTCCTTGTGAGAGAACACTTGACAACTTCAAAGAGGAAAGGATAATTTGGGCTCGCAGTTTGAGGGTACCGTCCGTCATAGTGGTGAAGGCTTGGCAGTAGGAGCATGAGATGTGGGTCATGTTGAATCTGAGTCAGGAAGCAGAGCAATGAGTGCTGGTGCTCAACGCTCTTTCTTCTTTTTATCAGTTCATCACATCCACCATTCATGGATGCTCTTTCCACCTCAGTCAATCCTCTGGAAACACCCTGAACAAAGCCCGAGGTTTGTCTCCTGGGTGACTCTAAATCCAGTCTCAATGGCAAGGTAACCATCCTACCCTTCAAACTAGGGGCCAACAGGAGTCCTTCCTCCCTTCCGTTACGTTTCACAGGTATGTGCCACACCGAGGAAAGTATCCAGCTCTCTGTGGTCCTGTGCAGAACTACTTACAGAAACCTGCCACAGTGGGCAAGTCTTACACAGATCTATACGTTGATTAAATCAGGCAAGACGCCCCCAGCAGGCCTCGGTTGCTGCCTCAACCTTAAGGTGAATAGAGTCCAGAGGTCTGTCAACCTGCCATACGTTATAAGATTTTGTTCAATAACCACAGAAATTGTAGGTAACAGAAGTCAATGTGAATGGCTGCCACAGGGGCCTGAAACAGAACAGCTCAGCCCAGCCCAGCCCAGGCTTCATGACTCACAGCACTTCATGTATCAACAAGGTCACAATGTGGCTGTGATCCTGTGCTGACAGGAGATGTTCCAAAGAGACACTGTGACCCTCCCTTTAGCCATGAGACTGCCATCCTCCCCACCCCCACTCACAAAATTAGTGTACTTAACAGGCATACAGGAGCTGACCTTCAGGGAAAGTTGTGCAAGGCCTCAACATACACCTATTATAGGAAGGGACCTAGGGGACAAAGACCCTGGGAGGGGAAATACCCAGACTACTTCCTCTTTAAAAATGGACTTAATAAAAAACTGTCTCTGTAACACAGAATGGAGGCAGTCTGGAACCCAGGTCTCCTCCTTCCCAGGAAAAAACCTAACCAGTATTGTATTTAAATTTACATCTGTTCTAGACTTTTTCTCATGACTTTCTGTAAATTATGAGGTGGCCTCAGACATGGAACAGGATTCTCAGTTCTCATTGGCTAAACTGTGAACAAATCCAGATTCTTCTATCAACTTCTGTTAATTAATTAATAATTAATTAATTAATTAATAATTAAGTCTGGGTCTCTTGTAGTCCAAGCTGAGCTCCAGCATGCTCTGGGGTTGAGGGCGGCCTTGAACTCCTGATCCTCCTCCCCCCACCTCCTGAGTGTGGAGACTAACAGGTGTGCATCATCACACCAGGCTCCTAACAAGGAAACTGGGTGTGTCCATTGTCCTCTCACTGTTGAAACAAAGTCTGTGGTGAAAGGAATTTCAGCGAGGATGGGTGTGCTTTGTTTGGTTCACTGTCCTGGGGGACACAGCCCACTGTGGCCAGGCAGGACGGAGGCAGGAGCGGAGGTGACTGTTCAGCTCTTCACACATTATTTGCAGTCAGGAAGCAGAGATCAGAGAGTGATAAACGCTTGAGCTTAACTGGATTTCATATTTAAAAACTCCGTCTAGCGCCCCCCTCTCCCCCCACTTGACCCTTCCCCCTCCCCCACTTAGTATGGGTCATCCCACCTCATTTTAATCCAGACACACTCACAGATTTGTTTCCGTGGTGATTCTAAGTCCCACCAGGTGAACCAAGCCTGAACAGTTTGTGGATCTGAGTGCCTCTGGTAACAAGAATGTTCCAGTTGGTGAGATTTAAACCTGCTAGAAGCTCTTGACTCTGGAGGGGATCTCTCCGAGATGCTTCTGTTCACACCAGAAAGAGGTTCCTCTGGGAGCAGCCTCCCTTCCATTTCCTACCATGTGTCTCTTGATTGTATGAAGAGTCCGTTGAGTGATTGACTTACACTGGTCTGATACTGTTAAACCCTCTCCGATGTTCACAGATTGACCGAGTCCCATAAGGACACCTTTCTCCAGGTGCCTTCCTGTCCTGAAGTGCCGATGACTGTGATCGTCAGTCCATCCAAAACCCAGGTGACAGAGTTGTGCTGCTGTAAAGGAGAGAGGAAGGTGTCCTAGGAACCTCCTGCCATGCTTCTGGACAAAGTTGGGCATGGAGGCATTGAGATGAAGCAAACACCCAGTCTGAATGTGAGTGTTCCAATGGGTGAACTCTGAAGAGCTCACTTGAGCTGAAGAGCATCAGACAAGCTCACACTGAGCTGGTCCAGGGCAGTGCCTGGGAAGAGACAAGGGGGTGGCCAGCAGGGCTGGATGCCATGTGGATGTGAGAACAAGATCTGGGAGCTGCTCATCCCCAGCACTTCTCCCATCCTCCCATTCCCCACCCCTTACTCTCCTGTCCCCATTCCCCACCCCTTACCACCCCTCTCAGCTCAAGGAACCTATTCTAACGTGTATTACCCACCCCATCCTCAGGTTTGTAAACTGAAGTTTAGTGGGGAGGGGGGACCCGCATCTGCGTTAAAGATTTATAAGACCTGATGACTGATCAGCTATTT